TATAATTTTAATTACATTTATTGTAGATCATCAGCAATGCTTCTAGTTGGAAATATTTGATTTTTATAGACATTTTTGTTTTCTGTGTATTTCTAATTTAATTTTATAATTGTCATATTTTATAATGTTTAAAACTCTTCCTCCTCATGATCGATACTTATAAAAAAAATAATAATAATATGCTTATTTACTTACAGTAAATTATGTTTAACTTTATTAAATAACTTAAATTTAAAAAGACAAATTTATTTTATGCATTTATAATTAACTAAACATTTTATTTTTAGTCTTTTAAGAAACGTTTTATGTCCTTGAGAAAAGAAATCGACGGAACACACACATTAGAATTTTATAAAGATGAAAGCAAATTGGAATCTAAGGGATCTTTTTCTATGGATTTCTGCACAAAAGTTGTGCAGGTAATGTAAATATTATCAGTTTTTTAACATTTAGATAAAGGTTATGTTATTAAAAGTTATCTAATATTTTAAAATAACAGCTTTAGGTAAGTAAGTAGAACAAGCACAAAACCTTCTTTTACTTTTATTCTGTTGCCATTTTTATTGTTTCTCAAGCATTTTTCCATTATGTGAATAGAAATATGACAGTTACCTTCATTTTGTTTCAGCCATTTCTTGAAGTTTTTAATACTTTTTTGATATAACAAATATGAGAATAAATCTTGTGTATAATTATTCTTATGAAAGATGTTTTAATAGAATATTAAATATATAAAAATAAAAAACATTTGCTATACAAATTTTTAGGAAAGTGAATAAAGCATATTTTCTTTTCATATTTTGAGTGTATTAATCTAAAAATTAAAAAAAAAAAAACTTGTCACTAGTGTCTAAATTTTATGAAATTCTCAAAAGAAAGTTAAAGATTTATTAACATTTGAATTAAAGGAAAAAAAGTTATAAAATCAGTTGTTGCAATTATTATGTTAACACCCATTAAACCTTTCATTGCTACATTATTATAATATTCAAATGCTTATTTTTTATTTCTGTAATGGTTTTATTTTATTAATGAGATTTAAATGCAGACTGCATTATTAAAAATTAATACCAAACACATTAAATTGTTTTTAAAATTGTGATTTGATTAAATATTAATTGAAAATTGCATATTTTGTAATATCGTCATATTTTGATGATATGAAACCGTGCTTTACAATTTGTTTATGCTTCTAACACAATAGAGTGCTATAAATTAAGACACTTGGCGGGTTTTCTCATCTTTATTTAGTTGATACGTGTGAACATTTTACACGTTTCGGGCTCTTAAGCCCCTCTTCAGCCAACTAAAACATTAAAAAAGAATATAACATACATATAAAAAAACAAGTTTGGTAGAATTCATAAAAATCTAAAACATACCATATATATAAGTCTTATAGACTGAAGTAACAGCTTACTTCCGTTTCAGTAACAGTTACTCGCGATATTTTCCAGTAACGTCAGCTTATTCATAAATAACTATAATATTAGGGAAGTATATGACACATATATACAAAAGTATACATAAGAATCTATAAAACTATCTTCCATTAAAACATACCTTGATTACGGTTGTTATTAAAACTGTATACAATTGATTATACCTTTCACTTATAAAACAGTTCTACAAAATCCTTGATTTTAAACATACTTTGGACTACAATTATCAAATTAGCATACAATTGATCATGCCTTACACTCATAATCTGTTTTACGAAATCCTTTTTCCTTGATACGCATTTACAATATAATACGAATTTACATAACTTTACAATATAAATTTACATATCTGACTTCCACACTATTTTTTCAATGTATGACTATTGGATTATTTAACATTTCAATATTTAATATCATAGATTATTATATGAACTAATGATTTTACAATGTCATGGAGTTAATAGACATGATCAACAGTTAATACAAATTTACATATTATCTGACTCTCATTACAACATTACAGTTTTTTGTTATTGTCGATTTATTTAACACTGCCAAGTGTCTTAATTTATAGCACTCTATTGTGTTAGAAGCATAAGCAATAAAAGTGTTTATGCGTGCCGAATTTTTAGACTTCGAATAACAATATTTAAATAAATGAAACGAATACGCTTTCATTAGAGTAAATATAAAGAAGTCGATTAAAAAAATGATAATAAACCGAAATCGTATATGTTCTGTGACAAATTATGTCTCCCGATGGCCGATGGCCGAGTGGTCAAGGAGTATTTCTTACCCCTCTGAGGGATCCAGGATATAATCAGGACAAGTAAAAAACCACAGGAATTTTTCGGACTCATAATGGGCTTGATAAAAAGATGTCCTCTTAGGGCCCGCAGGGAGGAAAGAGTTAAAAAAATGTCTTTCGATGATTTTTTTAATTGCAAAACAGTCATTTGAATTTCCTTATTGGATAATAGCTGAAAAAATATATATTTATCATTTTTCATGAGTGAAGAGGTATTCAACGTAACTTGCTCCATTTTTACTTAACTCAAAATGGACGAAATGCAAAAAGTGTCAAAAATTGCTGCGTTTTATAAAGAAAAGTATATTTTTATCACCGGGGGAACTGGATTTCTTGGCAAAGTAAGTAATAATTCTACAATTATATAAATACCCAACTTAATATTTTAAATAAAATTTTATAAATTGGATCCAAATAATAAATTATCTACGTTGTTAATGTACAAATACACTAAAAACCATTAGAATTTCTTTTCAATAAAATATAGACTATAATTCAAACGCTATATATTTTATTGCAATTCTCTTTAAACGTCGTGGTGTTTAAACAGAATTTCAATTATATATAGTCTATATACGTAATATATACATACATACATAATAATGCTTACATATATGTAAGCACTGTCAACTAATTTTTTTTCAAAAATAAAAATAAAAATGATAGCATTCTGTTATCATGTATATTGCATAAATGCAAGAATTTAAATTTTCAATTAATAAAATTCATAATAATTACAACGTTGGCAGTATAATCTCCAATGACAAACCTTCAAAAATCATAAAGTCAGAGTTTCTTCCAAACTCGCACTATTCATGAAAATCGTTACCATTTCTATGGGATTTCTTGCCCGTGATGGTCGATTCCAATTCGAATTTAAAATAACAACTTTGGACAAAAGTTTTCTAGGCATATAATCTACAGCAGCAATTTCCAATTAAAGTTTAAATTTTCTCTAAAATAATGAAGTTAAAATTTTAAAATAACGTTATTACGAATATAAAATGACACGTACAGTACAAATAGGAATATAATACATTAAAATATACATTTACAATATTTTGTGCATAAATTTTGTCCGACTTTTCTTAATGGTTTCTTTCCATTATCCGACAATCTACATGCGGGAATATCAGAGCATCAGATTGATTTTTATAAATCCTTATAATTGAGGGCAAGACAATGGTAGTGAGTAAAAATATTTTTCATTATTGGATTTGAGTAGATATACAAAATAAGATATTTTTTGTGTGCAGTATGCGTTTGAACTTTTAATCTTTTTAGTATGATATAAAAATACATTGGGAGAGACAATTTGCTAGTACAGAAATATTCAAGGACTAGCAGATGAGCCCGGAGTTGCTCGGAGAAAAAAATAACAACAAAGATTAAGATTGTCATTACAGAAATTGCTTTTAGCCCTAAGTATAATTAAATTAATTAAAATATCTGCCTTANTATATATATTAACTCCTTATAAATAATTGAACATTAAAATTGTATCAGAATAAAGTTAAAAAACCCATTAATCAAGTATTATTAAACAATAATTTAGTTGTAATAAAAAGTAAAATTGACTTTCGTCACATCCTTAATTATTACAATTAAATAAAACGGAAGTGTTTTTCAAAATCATGTTTACTTTTTAATAAAAAAGTTCTAAAAGTTAATACACTAGAAGTTAATTCACAATAGATCGTTTCTTGTAAGCTATTGCCGCAATTATTCCCCTTTAGCTAAGTTCTTTGTTTACATTTACACGATAGTGAAAATTAAAGTTGAGTTTCGTAACATTTGTAATTTTGTGAATCTGATGAACTAACGTTTTCTAATGTGAAAACATTGACGAAAATGTTTCAACAATGAACTAATTTAAATTAGTCATTATTCATAGGCTATAGACCCCATATCTTGTAAGCATCAGCTTGAAAGAAAAGGTGTACTATACGTACACCTTTTCTTTCAAGCTGATACGAAAAGTTTCATGTATTGTATGAAACAGATTTATAGGCTGCAAATGTTTCGAATCTACTGCTTATAAAGGTCGACGGATGCAATCAACCCATACATCTTTCATATAATTATTTGCGTTTTGACTTGCATTGCGTAATAAATTTAATACTTAAAAATAATATGAAATTATTTAAAAATTAACAAGTGATTTAAATACAAATTTTTATTACAAAANAAAACAAATAATTAAAATTTTCTAAAATTTACATTGTAGCCATATTACTCTTCTGAGAACTGGCTCCTACATTATGCACTTTAGGAACACGCTTGGAGTGAGAAAATTTTGGAGGCTTTAAAACATGAAGACATACCTAATATTTTATAACTAAAAAATACTATTTTGACGATGGCAATATGCTCTCATCTTTTCTGTACCTAAATGTCAGATTGGTTTTAAGTAACGTCATGTTAATGTTTAAGGGACAGATTTATATGATGCTTACAATTACAAATTTAAATAAGCTAGAATTGCTTTTGTATTTCTGAATTTGCGACCAGCTTGTTACCATAGATCTATACCTTACCAAACATCATACAGACGGATGGATAGATGTAATAAGGCAGCGCAATACACAGATAAATTGCCAAAGGGAAAGTGCCTCCCGGAGGACTTTCATAAGAAACTGTCACTATTTAGGTGTTAAATTAATTTTATTAGTTTAAATTTTATAAAAACATGAAAATACTGATTTTATAATTTTTGCTTGATTTAAAAACTTAATTTATATTTTCTTTATAAAGCATAAACCGAAATTACAATAAATAAAAACGCAAATTAAATATAGTATTAATACTTATTTATGTGATTTTTTGTTGTTTTCTTATAGGTTTTCGGTCGCATGAAAGAAGAAAGACCAAATTATCGAGAAAAATTGCATATTATTAGTGGAGATTTATCTGAACCGCTATTAGGAATTAGTGAAACTGATTTAGATTTACTTTCTTCTGAAGTTAGTATTGTATATCATGTAGCAGCAACTGTAAGATTTGACGAAGCATTAAAGTATGATAAATTATTTCTATAATTAATTAAATTTAACTTATGAGTTAAATATACATATACATTTATATATTTACTTTTTACTTAAAAGAATTGCTGTGGAACAAAATTTGCTCGGTACGAAGAGATTAATTGAAGTTTGCAAAAGACTGCGGAATCTCGAGGTAAAATATATACATGAACATTTCATATTGATAGAGATAATATGTGATAATTAATTTGACTTTTATAAAAATAAACATCAGAGTTTGGTGCACGTTTCGACGGCTTATTGTAATTGTAACCGTAGTGAACCTGATGAGATTATATACCCATCTAAAGTGGATCCTGAAGAACTTATCAGAACTATTCAGTAAGCATTAAAGAAAACTTTTCTGTACAATTAGTAACTACATATTGACAATAATTTTATACGCACAGATGGATGGATACTGATTTAGTGGATACCATAACTCCAAAATTAATAGATGATTTTCCGAATACGTATTCTTTTACAAAAAATCTCGCTGAAAAACTATATCTTAAAGAAACGGATTTACCAGTTAGCATATTTCGTCCAACTATCGTCTCACCATCATGGAAGGAACCATATTGCGTAAGTGATTTTATATTCTTCATCCCATTCATATCATTTTTTTAAAATATGAAATACTAAATTTTGGGTCTCTTGGATCCCGAAATCTATTTCGGGTCAAGAATTATTGGGGTTCTAAGTGAAAATCTATTTGGGCATGGTTACAGCAAATATCCATTATTAGAAATTCTATTTTTATTATTTCATTTGTGTCATTAATATTTTCGAATTTAAAAGAATGTAATGCCTATTTAGAAAATATTCTTTACATTACGACATATGTACGAGTAATACAATGGGTGATCGGTTAACGAACATAATCCGTTCCAAGACTTTGTTCGCTAACCGATTATCGATTTACCATAGGTTTTGATTAATTCGTTTTGGAGACCCCCAAAAATAAAAATTATATACTTTCTTACTACGTTTATTTATATGTAATAATAAAAATACATATATACACAGTCTTGCGTTTTTATTAGTCATGTTTTTCAGTTTGTGAGGGTTAAAGAATCTGTCTAACGTCCATTGTTTTTCTCTCTTCTTCAAGAGAGAAAAACAATCGAAGTAATTAATAGCATTGTAATTGTAGAGATCGCCAAGCCTGTTAACCTCAACCTGGTTTGGATGCCATTCTAAGACTTGTTCTGACATCCTCCCACTTCTTTAAAAGTTCTTTAATTAATTAATTAGTAGCAGATATCGGCATTAATCCTCTTTTTCAGAAGAAAACATATCTCGCCGAGTTTCTTGGTGTTTTTCATTCAAGAGTTCTTGGCGTTCTTCTGTCATCATATCCGTTTCAGGNTAAAATTATTTTAATCCAGAATTATAAAATAGACCAAATTGTTTAAATATATTTAATTAATTAAATTTAAATTTTTTCTGTAATTTTTGTATATTTAATTGAGAAATGTTGAGTTATAATTTATTTCAACATTTCTCCACTTTAGTATAATTTTAAAATAATTTTTGTTGCCGTTTGATATTATGATGTAGAACATTATATATTAATTTCAAATGATTTAAATTCGAAATTATTATTTATTCTTTTATTAACTATTATATTAAAATTAACTATTAACTATTACTTTGCTCAAAATACTTATATACCGGTACGATCATTTTCCCGTTTTGCGGCAGTCCCGTATTCATTTTTTCATTGTCTTAATGGTTGTAATGCTTTATCATAATGTAAATAACGTTATTAACGTTTAACTTAACAAAGCATTATGAACATTAAAAAATAACAATAAATATCAATATTATATTGTACACATGTCAGTAGTGTGTATTATTAAATAATGTCTACGAAATATCTTATGTCACATCACTCGGATTGGAAATTCATTGCAATAATCGAAATTTGCCTATAGGAAATAGTATTTCAACTAATTTGTCATTGTTTTTATACGAAAGTAAAATATCTGCTTCTAAAAATCAAAAAATGTCTTCAAAACGACGCACCGGTGGATTGTACCTGGAAAATTTTTGCAGCAATCTCGACTAGGATTCGATACTAGATTGTTCACAGCGGCAGTCTGCAACGCTATCGCACAGCCTTCTACGTGTGAGAAAAACAATGTTTTTGAAATTGGTTCTTGAAAGCTCCGTCATGCTGCTAAAGTAAGAACGCGAAGTGCAGAGACAATAATAAAACGCTTACAGTATCGCTTCGAATCACGAAGCACTTGTCTTCGAAGCATTTATCTTTACCAAAGAGAAATTCCCAAGAAAAAAATTTGATTTTCAGTTCGGGTGCTATAATTTTTCTTGGCGCAATATTTTTTTACATCGCGGGTGTTTTTCTTCGTATATCAATCTGTTTGAGTAATTTCATTATTGAGAAGGACAAGCAAAATTTTTTGATACCACATTCACGCTGATTTTAAAAAAATAATTTGTGTAGAATATGATGCTCATATTTTACACAATTGCTTACAGACAACTGTAGACTATTTACTCTCATTTGAGTTTTTCTACTGACTTTTTCCATATTTATTACCTAAAAGCAGAACTCAAACACTTTTTTGAACACACTGGAGCTAAGTGAGCATACATTTGTTTTTCCTCATCTCTGTTCCTAGGTAAATATTTCTAATGGTTCACGATTATACTTTTTTCTCGAGATATTCCGTATTATGCGATTTTGAAACAGGTAAAATTTATCAAATTAATTAAAGTGATAGAGGGGGTCATATATCATATCTCGAGTGTGATTGAACTTAATAAAGATTTTACTCGTTATTAGCATTTACAAATTTAAAATAATAATAATAAAACTCGTCCCTATCTTCAAAATTAAGCTTTTGCCGCTTTTTAATAATAATAATAATATAGAAATTTTTAAAAATAAAACTCGTTGCTTGACTTTTTTTAATAATTAAATATATGAGCACTAAGATTTGGCTCTATGGAAGAGTTATCACACTGTTGACGTAGCAAGAGAAATCACACAGTAATGGGTGGACTCTGATTTATTATAATAAACTGACTGCGTCAATAGTTTGAAATAAGTTTTTCATAGAGCCAAAAAGAGCCAAAATTTAGGATCACATATTCAATTATTGTAATATAAAAACAAAATGCAAACCACTAATTTGATTTTTTTTTGTTAATATATTGTGTCGTGTTTTCTATTTTTATACTATTTATGAGTTAGCGCTCACAAAGATGAAAATTTTATTGATTTTAAATTAAAAACTTTTCGAATTCAGCTCGGCTCCCCCAAATTAAATCCTGAGTACGCCATTGGTATTATCAATTTTTAAACCGTAGACTTTACTATACACTTAACTCTGCTTAAGAGAAACTTGGTAATTGTTATTGTCAACCTACTTTTATAGTTTGAGATACGTAGGCTATACCTATTTCAAGGTCTAGTCTGAAGTTTACACTAAGCATTAATTAATAATAACAATTAACGTGAAAGTTCCTTCTGCTTACTAACCATAAGTTTCAATAAAATATAAGTAAATTTAGCTGAGCTTTATATTTAAAATTTTAATAGTTTTTAGTTTTAAAAAGCTTCTGTGTATACTTTTATTATTTAGGTATTGGTGCATTTATCTACGGCGTTTTGTAATGTTCATGAGAAGTATTTATATGAAAAAATATATCCAACCAGGTATTCAAGTAAGAAAATTTTGGATTGTTTACAGTAAGTCAAATCCTAATTATTTATAATGAAAGATATTTTAAATATATCAAAATTATGTACAATATTATATTTTAGATGGATGGACGATGAAGCATTTGAAAGTTTAAGGAAGAATTTTTTGTATCGCCATCCAAACAATTATACTTATAGCAAATGTTTAGCCGAACAACTTCTTAAAGAAGAGGGAGATGGCCTTCCTATACTCATAATTCGCCCTTCTTTTATATTACCAGCTGTAAAAGAACCAATAGAGGTATATTTAATCTCCTAGCTTTGATTTGAAAATACTGTATTACGAGAGGATAGAAAAATCTTTATATGTTAAATTTTAGGGGTGGATAGATGTATGGAACAGTCCAGTTGCAGTAGCTATTGCGGCAAGTATTCTTAAATTACTTAATTTTCTCTTTTACTGTATAGTAGTATAAAGATATAATAATTTATTTTCAATTTTCAGTTTGGTATGGGATTCCTGAGAATTATTCGCGCTTTTATGAATAATACTTACGATGTAGTACCCGTAGATATTTGTGCAAGTACAACTATAGCATCAGCTTGGTTTTATATTAATCAAAAGTAAGTAATCAATGATATTTTTAACTTTACTAAAAGTAATCAAAATTGGAATTCCTATTTAGCTGTAACGAATTAACCGTCTGTCATTGTACAACTTCGATGCTTAACCCACCTAAAAATAGTGAAATCTTTAATATGACGTTTAAACTAGTGGATAAATATCCTCTATGCCAGGCATATCGTTATCCTAGAATAATTGTTACAGAAAATTCATTTATCTATGATATTGGTAAAGTGTTTCTACACTATCTTCCCGCAATATTTGTCGATGGAGGAAGAGTTATATTAGGAAAGAAACCAATGTAAATATTATTTTAAACTTATATTTTTATATTTTACTCCATCGTACAGTATCCTAAAACTCCATTTTTTGACAGGTTAGTGAACTTATATAAAAAAGTACATTTAAAAATGAAACAAATGGATTATTTTCTGGATAAAGAGTGGAAATTCGACGTTTCTAACTATAAAAAGCTTTTAGAATCGCTTTCAAAGGAAGATAAACAAGTGAGTAATTTTATTTCTTAGACATTTGTATGCTTCGAATGGCTATAGATTTGGGAAATTTTTGAATAATTCATAGTAAACATTTAGTTTACTAAAATCTAAAACGCAATATTATACCGATATATTTTAATATACTAATATACCTCATTTATTAATGTAATATTATTACATACTATAGTCCGCGCAGCAAAAGCGTAGACACTAATTGGCCTAAGCTGGAAGGATCTATCTAAGTCGCAGGAAAGAAATAGATGTGTGAAATTTTACACCTGGATCCGATCTCTTTCAGCTGTTTTTTTAAAACGTTTTTATACTAACTTTATCATAAATAATTTTATTGTTTTACTTTTTTACAAATTTTATTCTCGTGATTCGTCTCTTTCCGTCCGTTTTGTCCGACAGATCCTACCCGCTCAAAATGATTTGTATATAGTCTTTCACTGCGTGGACTATAATATATACACATTTTTCAAGTGATCAGTTTTTAAATCAGTGATTCACAACAGGTGTACTACAGCACACTATTGTGCACAGCTATACATTGAGAATTTTCGCGTCATTTTAACACATGGCATGCTATCTCAAGAACCATTGTATTTTGCCGGGAAGAAGGTTCAATGCATGACTTATAACAGCATCTTCCATCAAATGAGGGTTCCCTTCTAATCAGAATGAAACAGTGTTTGAAAAATCAAGACATTATTTTCAAGACATAACCGAAGCACTGAAATTCTGTTCTATTGGATATATTTTTGTGGCAATAAATCTGTTTATGATGAAACACGTAGATATAAAGATTTTCTAAAAACTGTTAAGTGTTTATGCGGCACTCTGTATAATTCATACCTTTCGCATTATAAATTCTATTAGAGATTCAAAAGAATTATTTCGTATCTATTTTCCAGAAAAAATAAATTATGAAGTGTACAAATTGTACACTTCATAACAAATTGTATTTTTATAGTTTATAGTTTTTAACTTTACAAAACTAAGTGCACTTATAAAATTAATTGTTTCAGTTATTTAATTGCGATGTTCGAAGTATCGAATGGTTGAATTATGTAGAAATAAGCGTGAAAAATAATCGTTTCTTTCTGATGAACGAAGATGAAGAGTCGCTTCCTCGGGCTCGAAAACATCTTTCTAGGTAAGTGAATTCTTATAGATTTTATAGTTACTCTTTAATGTTACTTAATTAATTTTTTAATTTATTCGCAGAAATTAGTTGTGTATTTTTACTAATTATTTATCAAAAAGTAAAGTTTAAAATAGCATCTACGATATAAAATATTAGCTTCATAACCTCGTACTTAGTACGGATTTACCTACAGACCTAGTACTTCGGGATTTTAGGAAATATAAATTTATAAGCTACTTAATTTTTTAGTTTCATTGTTTCATAATTACCGATTTCTAAATTTTGAGTATCGTGTAAAATTCGGAATTAATATCTAGTTAACCCTTGATAACTCGAAGTCTTGGTTACCACATATCCTCATTTATGCAAACACATCATTATTCTGGGTATAAAAATTACTCACGCATACAATTTTGCGAATTCCTTTTTACGGTTTCGGTTCCGATTTAGATTTCGGTTCCGATTTAGATTTCGGTTTAGGTTCCGATTTTTATTAGTAGCCAGCTTCGGTTTTTGGTCACTTCTGGACAACGTGTAGCATTAGCTTTTGTTTACGGTTTATAGTAATCTACAGTTTATTCTCCTATATCAGGGGTTACCAAACTTTTTTCACAGCGGGCGAGATAACTGAGAGAATGACGAGCGTGGGCCGTATAACTATTTTGTTCAATACAGCACACTGAATACAAAAAATAAAGACAACCAACATATTTATTTACCAATACACAAACACGAAGGCTGCAGCAAGCTCGTAATCACTTTCTTTAATTATAAATGTTAGTGTAATTTTGGCCTGTACCTTTAATATAGGACTTCCCTCGTATTTTAGCTCATTTGTGGCACAGTGCGTCAACTGGCCGGATGAACTGATCTTGTGGACCGTAGTTTGGTGACCTCTGTTCTACATTCATGGAAGTAATCGCTTATTTTATGTACAATAGTGAATTGTTTAAAAAGTTAAAAATTGTTCGAAGTTAATAAAAGTTTAAAAGTTAAAAAGTTAATACTGCTAAAAGAATTATCTTCTAGTGACAAATATACATGGACTCAATAGTGACTAAAAAGTGTGAAGTGTTTGCTTTCAGTAAGTTACATCATTATTTGCTATTATGTACTGTAAGTACTTTGTTAAAGCCCAAACCACAGTTGTAAACGAAATAGCTTAATATAATTTATTAAGTCACAAGTTTTTAAAAGTAAAGGTTCATCACATTGTATTATTGTAACTACAGCGAATAGAACTTTTCATGACTTAATGCTCAACTTCCAGTACTGAGTTGGTTGGAGGAGTAGCCTTATTTTGGAATTTCTCAATATATAAGCTATACAGGGTGTATCAGAATGACCTTTTAAAGATTTGGGGGATTGTAGAGGATGAAACGTTTTGATATAAGGAACCCATAGCCGGAAATGTGATATAAAGTTTCTAGACCACTTTGCACTTTGCAGTCGGTATGCTGAATGAAACAGCAGAATACAGTATTTATGACAAGTTTTATTGGCAAAACAGTAGAGTACAATCAAACTGTACATCGAATCAGTGGCTGCACTACTTTAGAGTAAATGCTCAATGTTATGACCACCAACTTCGTTACACAATGTGCAACGATGATGAACCAACGACAAACCCGCACCATGTTTTGTCCGACTTTCTGTAAGATGTCACGCTCCCCTCTGATGGTATTAAATGTTGTAAAGATGCGCTCCGTAATCTCATGAACTGTTCCTACAGGTGTTGAGTACACAAGGGACTTTACATAAGCTCAGAGGAAGAAGTCAAGAACAATAACATGACGTCAATGGACAGGAGGGTAGCTACCAAAGTGAAGGGCGGTCAAGCACTTCCTACCGCTGTAGAAACTTTATATCACATTTCCGGCTATGGGTTCCTTATATCAAAACGTTCAAAATTTCATCCTCTACAATCCCCCAAATTTTTAAAATGTCATTCTGATACACCCTGTATATATATTAAAATCTCCTTCCTGTGGGCATTAATTAAAGGCTTTTTTCCATACTGATCATGTGTTCAGCCAGACCCACAATGTAGACGAGCGGGAAGGTGAGGAACAGGAACCTACACATCCGGGACAAAGCGACCATGAAAAATTACAGGAAAATCCTTACCAGAAGCAGTAGGCTAATTTAGAAAATTTGGTGCAAATCAGTCAAGGGTTTTGCAATTTGTGATGAATGAAATCAGTGAATGAAGTGAGGATCCGAGTTTTAAAGTAGCGTATATTTTTTGGAGTGTAGTAGAGAGTAACTGTTTAAAATTTGTCCAGATCTTTCAAAAAGTTTGGGAGTTCGGGAATAGGATGAAATCAAAGAGGAGTGAGGGGTTGAGTTTAATGGTAGTCCATTAAACTCAACCCCTCCAGAGAGACGTTTGATTTTTGATTTAGAACGGGTTTCATGAAAATTGTGATTTTCCTTTAGGCATTTCATCGCCGATAAGGCTCATCGCATATCTGTACACCTGAAAAGTAACCGAACGAATTGAATTTATGTAGATAGATAGCTCATCACATAAGATATTCTTATTTGTAAATAATGATACGGTAGTATTAATACTAAAACAATGAACTCATAAAATTACTATACAAAACTTACAAAAGTTTAGTTTTATATAAGGGAAGAAAATTTACTCCTTATAGTCGTAAGTAACTGATAACAAAAGTACTGTATTATAAAAAAACGAACGACAAAGAACAATATAATCAAAACAAATACACAACTACAGCGGAGTCCTGTACAACGCAGGGAATATGTTCCGCATTATAAGAAACCGTATTATATAAAAATTTATACAAGTTTAAACCTGCGCCTAGAAGTTGAAGAAGAAAACATATACCTCTGAACAACAAAATTAAGAGTTTTGTATGGATATTATTCCCAATTATTATCGTCGTGGTCTAGGGAAGCGTGTTTTACGGAGTTCACTATATCCGAAATGCATGAATCTAAACCGAAAATATATGATGATAAGTTTAATAATGCCCACCAGATGGCGAAGTGAATTGTTCTAACAACCAAAGAATGCTCCAATTCTTCATTGTTCTTGTTCAATTGTTAAGATTTTTCTCTAAGAAGCTTTTTAGCAATATTATTGCCTATACACTGGATAAATTACTTAGCACGCCCTTTCCAGGATCTCAATTCTTGTTTATTGAAGGTTTTCAAAATTCTTTCGTTTTTCAGATAGATAGAGAATACTCAATGAAATGTCAGTTATTTCTATTTACTTTGGAATGAAATTTTGTGATTTCCAAACTTCTGTGACTTTGCAGCTTCCTTAATCTGCTTCCATCCGGCAGCGGCTCTCAATAGATATTGAGAGTCTTGTCAGTGTCGCTGCGCAAAGAGAAAAAGTCACTGACTATCTATATATATATAAATGACTATGTTTGTTTGTTTGTTCGCTATACAATCATAGGCCGTTTGACGAATTGCTACGAAACTCGGCAGTGACGTTCAAATTCTTCTAACTTAGGCAATGTCGTACACAGAGCCGTAACTAAGGTATGGCCAATGTGGCTCCGCAATAGGCGCCAAGGAGAAGGTTTCGTAATAATATGTATTCGAAATTAATAACACAAAAATTTTTATATTTATATTTATATAGTATTTAAATGGCATTAGATAATTTTTTACAATAGCAGCATTTTTTTAAAAAAAAATTTATTATTTTTAATAATAAAAATTAAAAAGGCGCCATTTTTATTCTTGGCCATAGGCGTCTAAAATCCTAGTTACGGCTCTGGTCGTACATCCCACGTAGAGTTTTTCGAGTTTTCTTTACATTAGTAACACATCTAAATTGAGTTCAGCTTCTCACAAAAGTCTTCCTGGGATGCATCCCCTTGGCTGATCTGTCAGGGGTTGCCATAGCGAAATAAACCAAACTAATCCTAACGAGCAATTATTTATTGTGACATTGTCACAATGCCGGGGCAGTAACTTTTCGTTAAAATGTTCTCAATTCTTTTAGTGGCGGTCTTGCCCCTGTAAATCGTACTTTTTCTGTTAGCAATGGAGTCGTGCCGGTTATCTATCTAAGGGCTGTTTCACACTATGACCGACTGGACCGATTGGTCTGACCCGTCCGATCCTATAATCAGACCGACTAGTAATAGAAGCATTCACATTGAGTATGATTATATGTCGATGGCCGATTCGTAAGGACCAATCGGAACGGGTGTTAAAAATCGTTTTATATTTTTCTAAATTTAAAAATATTTTTGTAATCTACTTGGTTGAACTTTGCGGAAATTATCTTACTTCGTTTATAAATTCTTCCGAAAAGTCTAAATAATACCATCTTTTCTCATTATGTTGATAATGTTTTTTAATATAGGCCTATATATTAAATTAAAGTCATTTGTGTTCCCATATAAGATTTAAGCAGTTATGAAAGAAATGAGGTACGAGGGAAAATTTAAATAAATTAGAAATATATATAATGTAAAGTTGTGTTTGATTAATTCGATGGTTTTCAAATATCCAAAGTCTGATTGGTTATAATTTCGAAGCTCTNTACAAAGGTTACCTTAAGTAAGGGTTTATCACATCGAGTGCCCAATTTAACACATTTTAAAAGTTTTTTAAACTGTATATAGCAATAGAAGAATAAAAAGTTTTAAAAATGTGTTAGATTGGTCATTCGGTGTGATAAATTCTTACGTAAGATAACCTTTATAATTATATAGCCGATCTTACCCGTTTTCACCGGGTGCAAAAATTAGGTCACCCTCTTCCGAGGCTAATTAGAAAATTTTTTGATGGGTCTAAAAATATGTCCGATTTCTCGCAAAAATGCCAAAAACCCGCATCTAAAATAGTAAAGTAGAAGCCGAGTTCTTCAGAATAATCGTTATTATTATTTGAAATTGCGAAAAACTTGAACGCAAAGAATTTCTATGAATTTTTCGGGGAGCAATCACTCCCTGATATGTCAGGCTCAGTACGTCACCATCCACCCTCCTCATTTTGTGTCTGGCCGAATCCAAGATGAGTGTACAAAAATTGGGACTCTTAGTGCTCTTAAGAGTCCTAATAAAAACTATACTAAGAGACGTATTAGAGAA